TGGCACAATTGTAAAATAATTTGTAAGCGTATTAGCAAGTAAAAGTATATAGTATAAAAGTATACTTATAAGAGAAGCATTTAATTAGATCAGGGATACTTCTCTGAGAAAGTGATATTTGAGATAAGATCTGCAGGAAGAGGAATCAAAGACTGAGGCCAGAACAGCCTGGACAAAGAAAACAGTAACAGAGGTGCTGCAACCATACTTACTATCTCCAGTTCTCCCATTCTCCCTTAAATAAAATGACCATCTGGCTTTTGTATCTTTCACTCCATCAAAACCATTCTTATCAAGATCCCAATGACCTCCACATTGCTAAATGTGGCGGTCAATTATTAATCTTCATCTCACTTGAGCTAAAGCAACATTTAACAGAACTTATTATTCCTTCCCCCTTGATCACTTTCTTCACTTGGCTTCTAGTGAACCATAGTGCCAGTTTTCCACTCTTCACTGGCTACTCCTTCATAGTCCCTTTGCATATAACTCCAAATCCACCTGAACTCCATGGAGTGTCTCTTTTGATGATATTAACAATTGCTATCAAAACACTACTATGGGCCAGGCGTGGTGGCTCACACCTGTAATCCTAGCACTCTGGGAGGCCAAGGTGGGCGGATAGCTCGAGGTCAGGAGTTCGAAACCAGCCTGAGCAAGAGCGAGACCCTGTCTCTACTATAAATAGAAAGAAATTAATTGGCCAACTAATATATATAGCAAAAATTAGCCGGGCATGGTGGCGCATGCCTGTAGTCCCAGCTACTCGGGAGGCTGAGGCAGGAGGATCGCTTGAGCCCAGGAGTTTGAGGTTGCTATGAGCTAGGCTGATGCCATGGCACTCACTCTAGCCTGGGCAACAAAGCGAGAGTCTGTCTCAAAAAACAAAAACAAAAAAACCCACTACTATGAAACCCATAATTACATCTATAGCCAGATCTTTCCACTCATTTATCTTAACTCCCTCCTCCATCTTTCACCTTGAATGGCATATGGGCATCTCAAATTTAACATAGCCAAACTAAATTGCCAACCTATCCCCTGTCCCCATACACAAATCTGCAGACTTTCTCACGACACTAAATGGTGATTTTTTTCCTCCTAGTTGCTCAGGCTAGAAACTTTGGAATTAGCTTTGACTGTTACTCTTACACCTCACATTCAATCTGTCAGCAAAATTTATTGGCTATATTATCAAAATGTACCCAGATTCTGGCCTCTTCTCTCTGCTTACACTATCACCACCCTGATCCAAATCACCACTATCATCTCTCACCTGGATTAGTACTTTAGCTTCCTAATCAGTCTGTTTCTACTCTTGCTTCCCCATGGTCTATGCTCAACACAATTTAAAAGAAATTATCACTTTAAAAAGTTGGATCATGCCCTCATCTGCACAAAACCCTCCAATGGCATCTGGTCTCAAAAAAGTCCAAGTGCTTCCAATCAGCTACCTGATCTCCTATCATTAGCTATCATTAGCTCCTTTCTCTATGATCTCATATTATTCTCATCTCCTGTACTCATTGTGCTCCAGCCACAGTAGCCTCCTTGCTACTTCTCAACTGTGCAAGTATGTTCCTGCCCACAGGCCTTTCCGCTAACCGTTCCCTTCACCAGAATGCTCTTCTCCCAGGCATCTACAGAGCTTACTCCTCCTCCTACTTCATATCCCCTTCTTGATTAGATCTTCTCTAACTGCCTTATTTAAAAGTGAACCCTGTTCCCCACAACCTGGCATTCCTCATTCCCCTTCCCAGTTGCATTTTTTTCCTCCACTGCATTTGTCTTCATTTGATTTACTATATGTTTTACATATTTACTTACTGTCTCTCCTCAGTAGAATGCAAGCCCTATGACAGTAGGGATTTTTATATTGTGCTCAATGTTGTATCTTCAAGGTCCTATTATATAGTAGGCACTCAACAGAAATTTCTTGAGTCAATGGGTAGGTCAAAGGGAATATGAGAACCAGTGACTGAAAAAAGATCTGTATAACTGAGTTTGGAGAGTGGTATATTAAGTGAGTCTGGAGAGCTGGAAATCATCCAGATGATGTTAGGCTTTATAACAGAGTTTTTCTTTTATTTTAACCCTTCGCATTCGGATGTTGAGTGTGAAGCGACAGGGTTAGTATCGGTAGCAGCTCGTATGTCTAGCCACATTCGACACTTAGTTTCACTGCGGGGGGGGAGGGAGATTTTTGTCTATTTTTCCAGTATCTTTTCTTGTTTTCATTAGCATGAAAGGACAAGTAAAATGTAAATGCAGAGATGGTACACTAACTTCCAGGGGTAGATTATTATCCACTAACTTAGAGCAACATTTAGATGGAAAGCTCCATATAATCACACCTCACCCTAACAAAAAACACAATGATTGTGTTGTTTGTTCTAACAGAAAAATCAAAGGAGGAAGAAGAGAGATGATTTATATTTGTGAAACATGTGAATGTAAACCAGGTCTTCGTGTGGGTGAATGTTTCAAAAACTATCACACCTTGAAAAATTATAGAGATTAAAATTACTCTTTGAATGTATCAATAATTTGAAATATACAAAAATCCAAATAAATAAGTTTGTATGAAAAGAAACTCCAGTTTTTTATTCTACTGCCATGCTTTGTAAAATCTGGGGTATTTAAAAAATTAAATCCCTAGTAGAATAAAGGAATCGAGGAAAAAGCAAGCAAGTGCAAAGGGTTAAGAGCAGCAGGACACCACTGAATGGTTTTAAGCAAAGAAAATCTGATCAGATTTGCATTTTAAAAAGATCATTCTGGCTGCTGTGTGGAGAACTAATGGAGGAGGGCCATTGTGAATAATCACTACTGTAGTGGTCTTATGGCAGTTTGGAAAAAGACTGTACTTTTGTAGACAGAGAGAAAAGAATGTATTTCAGGGATATTTGGAGATAAGATTGGCAGGACTTGGAACACTGAAAAAGAATCAGATTCATAGGAGGTAACTATACATTTGGTTGTAGCATATTGAATCTGAGATATCCAAAAAGAAATATCAAGCTAGCCATATGAGAGGTGAAGCTGGGGGAAGCTATACATTTGAGTGTCATAGGTGGTAATGAAGCGATGAGTATGCACCGATCTTATTCCATTATGCCATAAAAAGGGAACCCAGCCTTAAGAAACTACCCTATACTCTGTGGGCTGGATAAAGGAGGATAAGCCCAAAAAAGGAGACAAAGAAGGAATGACTTCTATTCTGTTTTTAAAATTACACTCATAAGAAGTTATTCCCTATTTTTTTTCCCCTGGAGACAGGCTCTCACTCTGTTGCTCAGACATAAGAACAGTGATGTGATCACAGCTCACTGCAACTTCAAACTCCTAGGCTCAAGTGAATCCTCCTTTCTTAGCCTCAGGAGTAGCTGAGACTACAGGCCACATGCCACCACACCTGGCTAATTTTTCTATTTTTTTGTAGAGACGAAGTCTCACTGTGTTGCTCAGTCTAGTCTTGAACTCCTGACCTCAAGCGATCCTCCTGCCTTGGCCCTTTTTAAAAATTCTGATTCAAACCGGTAGCATTAGAATGTTAACAGGGCTTGCCAAATTGGACCAATTCATTGAAACTATGTACATCTGTTCAAGGATACGTAACTTAACACAAACTATGAGAAAAACCTCTCGTTCCTGTATCTTTGCAGCTTCAAAGTACATCAACACAGAAAACGCTACCCCCCCCCCCGCCCCAATATATATGATTTGGCTTATTGTAGATTTTTTAAAGGACCCTCTCTCTCACTTTGGGTCTCAGGATATGCTGTTGTTTTGGTCCTCACTTCCCCTGGGATGAAGATATCCCACTTTCCAAGATTGGGTTAAGTACTCTCCCTTCAACCATGCCAATTATATTATTCAGTATTGTAATTGTATGTTTAACCATTGGTTTCTCTAACTAGATAGGACTGAGTCTTTTTCACTGTTGTATACTTGGTGCCTAGCAAGACTAAATTTTTAGATACAAAATACATCTATTCTGCAATGTGAGGAATTAAAATCTAATCTATTAGATTATCAGTTAATGGATGGCCATTCAAACCTTGACTTTCTCAACAGTAATGACTTTCCAAAAGCAACCAGTAATATTAAACAAGTAATTGTATCTTTTAAAGATACTAAATTTCAGACTTATGGGTTTTTTTTCCATACGGTATCCTTAAAACCTGCAATAATTCATATCTAGGAATAACAGATTTTTTTTTTCCTTTAGTCTCATACAAACGGATTTGACATTTTGCTTTTAAAGCTTTGCCTGGGATTTCACCTGACTGAGCAAATAAAGCACAGAATATCTCTATACAAAGGCAAAAAAGGTTGCAATTGCACAGGGATCCCTAATCCATCCCATGCGTGTCCACATGAAATGGCTTAAGCAGGAGCAGCAGAGCACCCGTTTCCACAGCATCCTTCCTACTTGGCCTTACTCAGGCCTCTCCCACCGACCCTCGGTATCAACATCCCCAAAGCCTCGCCTCACCACAACACCCGGGCTTGGGCAGCTGGACTAGAACTTCCCACGCAGGTCACTGCAAAATGTCCCTGGACTAAGGGCAGCAACCCTAGATGGCTTCGTCTTCAAAATCGCAGAGGAAATGAAAGAAGAAAAAATCCGGTCAAGGGAAAGGTGACAGCCCAGCCTATAATGCCTACCAAACCGACGCTCACAGTCAACCCTCGCATACGCGAACCACCGTTGGCCCGCAGACGGCTACCGGCAAGGTCGCGGTGGCCCCTGGGTGTTGTAGTTTCTGTCGCAAACAAAATGCGCCAGCAGCATCAAAACTACATTTCCCAGAAGTCAAGGCGAAACCGCCCTGCCTACTTAAAAATCTTGGTTTTGGCGTGGTAAAGAGACAGCCGCTATTTTTAGGCTAATCTTAAATTTAAGCTCGATTTGTTCCAGGAATGTCTTCGAGCCCTCTTTCTTTGTCGTGCTTGTCTTGTGTGTGATAAAGTCTCAGTACATTTCTACTCCTTACTTTTCCTTCCCTTTCTCCGGGCCACAGACTCCAAACGCCTGGGAACGGAAAACGCCCCTCGGCGCATGTTTCGTGCCTCTGGAGGCGCATGCGTCCTGTTCGCAGTCACGCATGCGTGGCTCCGGCAGCGGTTGGCGGCCGCGCGCGGCGGACTTGGGGTCTGGAGGTAGCCAGCCCGAGGGCGGGGCTTTTTCCAATGGCTTTGCCTCGGCGGGTCGCGTCTGCCTGGGCGGGGAAGAACGCGCTGGGGCAGAGGCGGCTCCCGGTTTGTGCCGGGCGGAGAAAGGGGAGGGACTGGGGGGTGAGGACCCCATCTCCCCTCCCTGCTCCCGCCCTCTGGGCTGATCCCCACCGATGGGGCTGGGCGAGGGGGCGGGCTCTGCGCCTCGGGCCCTGCAGCTCCTCCAGCTTCGCGGCCCAGCCCCGCGCTCGAGGGTTGCCTGGGCCGCCCTGTGCCCTTTGGCTTGGCCTTGGTGGGCGAGGGCGCAGGAGTCAGAGAAGTGGCGTCTTCCTAGGCGTCCGGAATCGGCAGGGCCGGGCACGCTTTCCTTCGTCGCTGCCGGCCCAGACAGCTGCTGCAGGACACTGCCGCCCCCCGGGAGCGCCCGAGCCTTCGCCTGCTGGGGCCAGTGGGCCAGGGTTCGGCGAGCTTTCCCTGTCGGCGCCCGGCCGGCAGCAGGGACGCAGGGAGGAGTTGTGGAGGGCGGGGACTGGTGCCGGAGGAGGGGCGGGGTGAGAACGCTCGGGAGAACCCGGTGGCTGCACAGACAAAAAACCCCAGATGGCTGGAGAGCGTTCAACTGTTACCAGCCTTTTGGGGCAGAGCACGGATTTGACAGCTCCACAACGTGAGGATATCCGCTGACCCTGCGAGACGCAGGAGAACACTTCCCCGGAACTCCCTGTCCAGCAAAGCCAGCGCTGTAAGGTTGCAACTTCCAACTTTGTTTTTTCAATTTCTGACCAGAAGGAAGAGTGCTCTTTCGTGTAAAAGGAGAGTGTGAGAGGGTGATCTATCTTGTAGATCGGTAGAAAGACACGTCTGGTTCCAAATGTCATCCAGATCTGGGTTTTTGTGACGACTCGACTTCTCTGATTTCTTACATTACTCATTTTAAAAATACAAAGTGCTTTGGGGCATGCTAAAAGGCAACTGAAGACTGCAAAGGAAAAACTATTATCATGGCTGAAGGAGAGAATGAAGTGAGATGGGATGGACTGTGCAGTAGAGATTCAACTACTAGAGAGACAGCACTGGAAAACATTAGGCAAATCATTTTGAGAAAAACCGAGTATCTTCGTTCGGTGAAAGAGACGCCTTGTCGTCCATCAGACGGGCTTTCAAATGCTGTTTCTTTGGACGGGTTGAATAAGCTGCTTGCTCATCTGCTTATGCTTTCTAAGAGGTGTCCCTTTAAAGATGTGAGAGAGAAAAGTGCGTTTATTCTGAAGAGCATCCAGGTAAGAAAGAGCATTATGAATACAACTGTCTCTCTAGGACAGTGAAATTTTACTTGCAATTATTCACGTTGCATTTGCTTCTATTAGATTGTTATTATGTGAACTTTTGTTATGAATTCATTCTACATTTTAAAATTAAGAGTGATCTGTAAAACATTGAATTTTGGGCCGAAATTGGACAAGATGTACTAAAGTGAAAATGAATTGCAAATGTAAGTAAACAAGTATTGTTTTTCTAGAGAGTTTTAGGTAGAAACTGCATTGCTCCTGGAAAAAGAGATGAAGGTTACAGTTAATTGCAAGTAGAGACTTGTTTGTCCTTATATTTCTTTTTACATGTAGTTGGGAAGTATAGCCAACATGCCTTTCACATTGTCACAGTGTTCTGTATGAAAAGGTTCACATTTAAAAGCCTCTAAAATGATAAAGGCTATTAAATGTTTCCTAGTCAGCTTATTGAAGACAATTGGTGGAACAGTTTTCTCTTATTCTTCAAAACAAAGCAAACAACAACCAAAAAAACAGGGTGTGTTCTCTGAATGCAACGTTTTGTTTTTTTTTTAAAAAAAGAGTTATATAAAATAATAAAAGCCTGTTATAAAGAATCTGACATCTTCATGTTGAAAAATTGGACCCAGGTAGGGTGTGTGGTAGAAACACTTTTATGGTAAATTACTCAGCCATCCTTCTCAGTATTTGCCTAAATTGTTTCTTTTCTTTTTCACATACATACCTATTTAAGTTATGAATGCAGCAGATTAAAATATTATAGTTTTCCCTTCATGTTGTACATAATCAATTTATCCTGTTTTATTACAACGTTTATTAGAAGGTTTTTTAAACTATGTTTTTGGATATTAAGAATGTTTGTAACACTTTATGCTTCTCAATTTGTAACTAACTCAAATAAGGCTTGCAAAGCATAGCACAGTGCCTAGCACATAAGAACATGTGTTGTTCAAAGTCATGTATGAGAGTTTTAAAAATTTATAGTTTACTGAGCATATACATAAGCTAAGATAGATAGTTTTTCTATATTGGCTTGATTTAGTTTAAAGCAACAGAAAAATAATCATATCTACAAAATGAAGACTCTAAGATTTGGAGATATTTCTTCTCACAAACACTTTGGAAACAATTGTTACAATTCAGAGTTACCAGAGAGAAATTAATTTTCTAGATAACTGAAGTTTACCCTTTTAAGCATAAAAAGTTATTTGTATCTCTTAGACTGTGGTGACTATAACAACCTTTTTTTTTCCATAACGGGGGTCATCATTAGGTGTATCAAGTACTGTTATGACGCAAAGAGTGGAGTGTATAAGACTATATAATCCATATTTTAAAAAATTTTTTGTCTAATTTTCATTGTTTGCTGTTGGTATACTGGTACTTTGGTCTCTTCCTAATCTTTAATTTTGCTGCTTATTTACATTAGAATAGGAAACCAAATAACCAATTTTGTTAAGAGTTACATTTAAAAGAAAAGTAAGCAGCCTCTGAGAAGTACAGTGTCAAAGGATTTTTATATAATGATAAGTAAATTAGTACTGGAGTCAGACCTGGGCTCAACTTCTACTCCTTTGTTAATGTACTGCATAACTTTGGGCAAGTTACATGACCTTTCTTAGCGTGGATTTCCACATCTATGAAATGAGAATAACAACATACAGCCATTGTGAGAATCGAATGAGATGTAAAGTGCCCTGGTATATAATGGATAGATGCTCCTCTCCCCTTCCCCCACCTTTGTTTTTCCTTTTTGCCTCTAGCTTTGCATGGACAATCTTCTCCCTTTTCATAAGTGAAATACATGGAGTATGTGATATATATTTCAAGACTTGTTCATTCTGAAAAAGTATTCAGAAATTTCCTCTACTGAGATTTCCCAAAGACTTATACTCTGTTTTTCATTTCTGCATCTATCGTACTTTATTCCTGCCACACTTATAACAAGCGCTTTACTTATATTGTGCTATAATCGTATGTTTATGTGTCTGTCTCCCCCAGGAGGACTGTAAGTTCCCAAGAGTATTGGCTGAGACCTGGAAGCTACTAAATACATATCCAGTGGATGAGCAAGTTTATATTTGCCTTCTTTCTGTTACTTATCAGGCTGAATAGATGAAGTTTCCAATTTAGAAAGTTTCTACCCCAGCATCATTCATTCATGCTTGCATTTATGCAACATATGTTTATTGAACCCTTGGTGAATGTCATTCTAAGAACCGAGGACCAGTGATAATAATTTGACATTATACTGAATGGAGACAGTCTATAAAGATGTAAACAAAACAAAAAAAATTAATTTTAGTTAGTAAGGGAAAGCTTCCCTGAGGCAATGACATTTAAGCAGAGACCTGATGAATGAACAAATATCATCCATGCAAAGGTGAGATTTATGAGGGGACATTCCAGACATAAGGAACAGTATGTGAGAAGGCCTCATGGGAAAAGAGAGCAAATGAGTTTTAGGAATTAAAAGTGATGCAATATGTTTGGAGCAGACAGTTTGAGGGAACTATGAATAGCTTAAGAGCACATGCTCTGGAGTCAGACCTGGCTCCAATACAGGCATGCATCGCTTAATGACAGATATGTTCTGAGAAATGCATCGCTAGGTGATTTTGCTATCGTGTGAACATGATAGAGTGTACTTACACAAACCTAGATTGTTGCTCCTAGGCTGGAGACCTACCTGTACAGCATGTTACTGTACTGAATACAGTAAGCAATGTAACACAATGGTAATTATTTGTATATCTAAACTGAAAAGGTATAGTAATAATGTGGAATTACATTTGACCCTTGAACAACATAGGTTTAAACTGCACAGTTTAATATGGATTTTTACATGGATTGTTTTTCAATAAAAGTTGTACTGATTGTGCCTGTGTCTCCTTCCTCCCCTTCCAACTCCTCCACCTCTTCTGCCTCTGCCACCTCTGAGACAGCAAGACCAACCCCTCCTCTTCCTCCTCCTCAGCCTACTCAACATGAGGATGATGGGGATGAAGACCTTTATGATGATCCACTTCCAGGTTAATGAATAGTCAGTACATTTTCTCTTCCTTATGATTTTCTTTTCTCTAGTTTACTTTATTGTAAGAATATAGTATATAATATACATAGCACACAAAATGTGTGTTAATTGACTGTCTATGTTATCATTAAGGCTTCCAGTCAACAGTAAGCTATTAGTAAAGTTTTGGGAGAGTCAAAAGTTATACGAGGACTTTCAGAATGCAGAGGTTGGCATTGCTAACCCCATTGTTGTTCAAGGGTCATCTATATAATCTTATGGGACCACTGTTGTATATGAGGTCCATTGTTGACCAAAACATCATTATGCAGCACATGACTATACTTTATTAGCTATATAACCTTGGCTAAGTTACATAATCTCTCCTTGATTCAGTTTTCTCATCTGCAAAATAAGGACGGTGTTTATATTTCCTGCCTCACAATGTTGCTATGAGAATAAAGTGAAATAAGGCTTGCAAAGCATAGCACAGTGCCTAGCACATAAGAAATGCTCAGTAAATGTTAGGTGTTCTTACTGTTGCTAGGCAGGAACTAGATTCCAGAGGGGCTGGCAGGCCATGTTTGTGGACTTTATCTTAGAAACAAGGGATGTGGGGATGGGAAGAGTGGAAGAAAGT